CAACTGTGAGTATTATAAATTTTTTGTATATTATTTTCTATCATATAAATATTAAAAGGACAAGGTAATTTGAACATCTTCATTTTCCATTTTTGACATATAACCAATTAATATGGTAATGATTTTAGCTAGGAATTTCTGAAGCTAAGCAGATTCAGATCTGCCAGGAGGTTTATAAACATGTCTAGCAAGTTTGTCTTTCTGCCAAACTTAGAATCTCCCTGATAGTCAAAAATCTATTAAGCATGCTGGTGGAGATTAAATTGCATCCTGCCTAGGTTTTTTTCAGACATTTGCATACATGCAGCTACAAGCGTTAATAATATCTGTGATAATTTCTAATCCTTTAAAAAGGGATTTAAATAAATCAGTCTTGTAGTGTAGCCTTATGCAGTATCTTCTCAATAATATTACATAAACTGCTCAAAACCACCATTAGATTTACTGTATCATAATTATTTCTATATCTGCCTGTTAACCTTAAATGTTTATTACAGGCCTCTAAGCTTTGAAAGTTAATGAACTTCTATACAATGTAAATAACATTTAAAAAGTTTTGAAGTTTAGAAATAAATGGAGAAGATCTACAAAGCACATGCTGTCCTTTATTTAATGTGTTATAACTTAAGTGGAAGTTAGCATCATTTTTAGGACATGTACAAGCTCAGTGCTAATGGTAAAAACTACCACATGACTGCTCTCTGGAAAGTATGTAATATTTCTGTCAAAGAGCAGATATTAGATTTGCAGTTCTGCAGACAACAGCTGTATCTTTGTACCGCAACAGATAATAAGAGCAAAATAAAAATTAATGGGGATTTTAACAATATGAAGACTGCTGTGAAAGACCATAAAGTCCAGTCTAGTCTTTGTGATGATAAAGTTGGATGTGTTATTTTCAGTTGCTATGTTTGTGAGCATTTGTTTACTTGCTTACTTCTGTTCCATAGCATTTCTATAACTTTGGAGACATTCTTCCTCTCCTAATTAAAGTGAAGATAATTTAGGACAGATGATTGTAGGATACCAGTGTGTCTGTGCATTTCATTTAGTCTATCTCCTATCTCCTTTTTATTGCTTCCATTTCTGTTTTTCACTGCTTCCTGGGACTTCTCAGTTGTCTCCCTGCTATGCTATATCTCAGTACATCTCCATTCTTGGTGAATTTTTCTGTCCCATCCTTTTTTCTCCCTTTAGCTTGCAATCTCAATTTGACTGTTGCCTCCTCTTGTCATCTATCATGCTTTCTTCATCCCCTGCCTCTTCATAGCATTGAGCCTTTAACTGTTGAGAGGATATGCCCCACTTAGTTTGCTTTGCATTTATTTGAATTATTATTGACTGTAAGCAGAACCAATTTCTGTTTTTCCCTTTCCTAAGCCAGTTAGAATGTATACCTACTGTTCACCAACTTATTAGTCTTCAAGAGCAGTAGCTCAATTGTTTCATGCTTTACAGGATACAAGACTTATGATACATTTTCATTACCTTCAGTCCACATACAAAAGAGAAGAACACATCTCCTTTGACAAGATCTTATAGGTAGTATATGGAAGAGTAAGAGAAATAAGTGTGGCATGCTCTTACTTTAGTCAAGGGGGTGAGAAAGTGCCTCTCTGCTGCAGTAAATATCAGTCATTTAATGTTACACGGTATGCTGGTGGGAGCTGGCAGGTTTTGTCTTAGGCCAAACTGATCAAGAAACCTCTCAATTTTCAAGTGCCTCCTATAAAATCTAGTAGATTTCTACAATTCTGCTAGCCTACCTGTCTTGTTTCTGGATGATGCTTTCATTTAATGGATTTGACAATTTTTCTTTTAGCGTGTCAGCATGTCTCCATGGGTGTGGGGACATGTTATAACACTTGGGTTTTGAGTTGGGTTTTTTTTAAGGAAAATTCCCATGATTAACAGTGTGCCTGTGAGTCACACTGCTCAGTTTTAAAGCTATCGTGTTACTTTTTTACCACATTAATGTTGGAATAACTATATACCTAGGCTGTGTGAATCCTGCTGAGCTGAATTTGGAAAGAAGTTGTTAAATGTTAGGCTGCAGTTTTGTTTAGTAGAGGAAACAACTCACGGGGCAGAGTTAGACATTGATTTGACTTCACAGCCCTCAGTGAGAACTGCCCATACAGCTGTGGTTTTGACCTCTTCCTACTTAATCTGAGTGCAAGAAAGACAGTTGTTGAAAGGAAGCCAGAGAAGTCAGCTGAAGAGAGAGAGAGAGGTGTTTTTCCTTTATTTCTGTTCGGCAGCTACTCAGTGTCACATTCACCATACTTTAACAAGCACAGGGCTGAAACCAATGAACGCAATGGACTTCGGCAGTTCGAAGCTGATTTCAAGGAGTTTTAGGGTTTCGGCTCAGTATTTTGCGCTATACTGCTCACATGACTGTATCTAGATTTTTTTAATGAGGTCGTCTTCTGAAAAGACATTAGCTTCTTATTCAAAGCAGTTGGTCTTTAGCCTATATAATTGACAGAATAAACATACTTCTAGAAAACATAAATTGAACCACTGTAGACTTTGACAGAGTTGTATCATTCTCTGCTGCCAAAATCTTTGTGCTGCTGTGAAATTGAATGGCAATACCAAATTTCATTTTCTAGAATAATGTGAGGATTATATTCATCTTTTGTAATTGTCGTGTTTTTCATTTACCCATCAAAGGAAAGAAAATAAAGTATCATTTCAGTTTACTTGTAGTTTCTGTTATGACTCATAATAAATCACCTTGAAACTTCTTAAATTTTCAGCAAATTTGACTCTCCTTTCAGCAACTACTAGATTTTTAGAACAAAAGTTCATTTTATGAAGGTAGTTAACTTGACTTCTGCCTTTAATTAGAACTTTACTTTTTAGTTTCCTAGTCTTGAATAAGTCACCCACTCTATTCTGATATTTACTGTATATTTTTAATGTGGCTTAAAAGCTGTCAGACATTAAGTTTTTTCAATATAGAAGTTCAATTTAATTATGAAGATATTCTGGGAAATGAGTACATTCATTCTTCTTAATTTTCCAGTCCTAGGTTTTTCTAGACATAGTATGATCAAATTTTGTTTTGCTACACAGAAAAATACGAATTCTTACATTAGAGTGGAGATCAACCATTTAATGAAATAAAGAAAAAAATGGAAGAAAAGTTGACGTTCTTCTACAGAATTGTTTTTGGCACTTTATTCCATTCTGCTGATGCAGAGCAGAGTCATATTGAGAAAACAGAGTCTTTATGAAATTTAGATTGTAATGAAACCTAAATCATGAAGCCAAATACTGAGTGACCATTTTTCATCACCTATGGACTAGGGACATTAACTAATTATTTCACGTCATTCTACTACTTAATGCATGAACTGTGCAAAAAATAAAGTAAAATAAAAAAAAAATATCACCCTGATCTTTAGGGAAATAAAAAACCCCAGCATTTCTCTTTAAAAGCCAACTCCAAACCCTTATCAGTGATGTTTAAAAGTAGACTAGTTATCTGTAGAAGTCTAGTAGGATTTCCTTGCCCACATAGGTTTAGTTGTCCAGAATTTCACACATAAAACCAAACCTCCAGGTATATCAGACAGAAAAATTCTAAAAAATTAAGATAATGTATACAGAGGAAATGATCAGCTACCCCCTATATAAGCTGTCTTTATTCCTGCATGCTGCTTTTGCACTCTATCATTGTACTTCTGTGGAACAAAGACAGTTACTTGTCTCTAAGAATGGGCTCACTACTCCAGCTGAGTTGCCCTTTCGGTTTGTGTAATATTTCCGCACACAGGTGTCACCTGGGGTTACTAACCCTAGTGTAAAGTACCACTTCAGGTTACCTCATGCATTCTCAGGTAATCCATTGGGTATTACAGGTGGGGAAAAGAACATCACTGTGAAGGATCAGAGGGGAGTTTATAGTGTGCAAGAGGCCCTTGAGTACGTTTCTTTTCTATTACTTCAGGATACTAACCTAAACTGCTGTTGGTTTGTGTTGTAGGGTTTTTTTCCATTATTTTTTAACAACCTGTATCTTAGGAACATTAAAATACAGCATTGGTCTTGTTTTCTGTTTATGCTGGTAGTTTCATTCTCACAAATGTATCCTCATCCAGGTAAGAGGCACAAAACTGTATCATTACCTCCACCATGGATTCTTTGTTAATTCTTTGCATGAAATAGTTCTAGTCATCATTCCTGCAAATAGCCATTTTGAAGTAAATGTGATTTTGCTTCATGTGTGGTCACAAGAATAAATTCAGGGAAGCAGCCATATGTGATGTATATAACCGGCTACATTTTTAAGGAACACTCTTGATCAGTAATTATAGGTATTATTGGGCATAATTTAGAGGCTACTTTTATCATTTGTCCATTTAAGCATGGACTTCCCTTTCCAAATCACAGCTGGGAACAAAGATTCCTATTTTCTTAGACTTTGTACATTACATATCTTCATTGACCCTTCAAAAGAGGGATACAGTATGAGAATATGTCAACAAACTGTAGTTCCATTTGAAGCTATTTTAGTTCATTTGATTTAATTTTGTATTTAAAAATATGTTGACCCTAGGCTTGCTGGCAGTAGAGTGCACCTCAGACTTCTCATCTGAGGGAGCTGTTAGAGGGACTAGGATGATGTGCTAGTTCTGCCTAGGCCAAACTTATCTTTTTTTGCTTGCTCGGGGGTTTTGTCTCAAGTCAGAAAAAACTGCAAAGATGAGCAGTACTGTTTGAGCCTTAGAGGATGTAGTTTAGCTGTGGAATTCCTATCGATGTTAATAATTGGCAGGGCAAAATACATAGTTTTTCCCATGCATATTATGAGACCCCAATTCAACTGGTGCTTAAACTATATTCCTAATTAAGGGTGTGTGATTAGTCTTCCTGGGCTCAAGAGGAATTCTTTCCTATGCACAAGTTCCTGCTTTTGTACTGCTAGGAAATGGTACACACAAA